TCAAATGCCTTAGTTGGAAACAATCGCTTTTCGGAAGAAGATGCGCGTATCGCTTGTTGTTCATTATTGCCGGTTCAGTAACTATTAACTTCTTAATAAGTCAGTATGCTGTACAATAACACCACAGGGCTTGAAGCATTGAAATAAGGGCAAATACAGACTGGCATGCTCCACACCAGACTCGAATTTCGAGCTACTAGTGGGTAAACTGTGCCGTTCTAAAGAAAGCGTGTTTCAGAGAAGACAAACCTCCGGTGAGCTACATTGAACCGAACTTATGCACCCATTATAATTTGATCGGATCCTGCATCATCGATGAATATTACCATGTCGTTCTTCCAAACATTAGCCTTTTTGCAAGAGTCAAGCGCCAATTGCAGAATCAGAACCCGTCACCAAAACTACTAATTACCTTAACTCCAATGAATGCTCGGATGTCTAAAGTTGTGAGTTACTGGCAGCTTTTCTAAACAATTGTATACCCTTCTACAGGAATACCCTTCTACATTTGTGAAAATGAAAACACATCGTACTAAGATCATTTTTACTTGCGTGGATGTACGTGTCCAGCTAATTCAACTTTGAAATACGAAAGTTAAGAAGCTGAAATTTTGCACACGAGTAAAATCCGAAATCAACCCATGCTTCAGACTTCTGATCTTGCAACCTCAAATTCTGACTCAAGCTAATTTACAGACCAAAAATCAAGTACGGCACAATCTGTAAACTTCGATAAATCAATTCGCTGTTCTGTAATCTCATGTTCAAATACGAATGGTCTTCATTGGTGCTTTAGAATAACCCGTATTATAAATAATACTGAATTTTGGCGCGTTTTATGACTAGGCTTGAATAAATGTTCATAATGATGAACTTCTGTATCGGCTCGTTCGGCCACTGAGTGCCGGTGCTAGTTTGTTGCAAAAACACACAACCGTGTCTGCTTTCAAGTGCGCACCGCTATTTACATTAAATGCTTGCGTAGTCTTTTATGAAATACAATTTGCCTGTGCACTTCTCTAATAGATCGCTGTGAGAGTTTCCAATCAGAGTGACCAGTTGTTTGAAGAGGTTTTGGCTGAAAAACCAAGGAAATATGTATCCAATCAAGCGACTTTAACATAACGTTCGGCACAGCTGATGTTTCAGCCCGCTGCGCCGCTTCAAACGCATAATCTTAATTCTTCGTTAATTCAATAGAATAGCATTATACTGTTTGAGCGTTCTAAAAAAAAACATCGGCGGCCTCTTCAGCTGATAAAAGGTTAAGCTGGAGATGCTAACAATAACTAAAAATAGACAAGCAGTTGATAAAGCTTCGCAGAGTTGCA